ACAAAAGTGCCATTCATAAACAATTCTTAAAACTCAAAAAGTTTCACCCTATATTTTTTCTTCGATGTTTGTAAAATGTTCAAACATTCTGAATCATTTTTTTTTTGTTTCCTTTAGTCTTATGCACTTTTCCAACCAACTGTTGGCAATGTTTTTTAAAATTTTTAAAATCAAGTTAAACAAACTAGAAATACACAGGATGAAAAATCTTCAAGCTTTCTCACTCATCATCAAACCTGCTTCTAAGAAGTGCCAAGTATTGAGAAGAAAGTATCAAGTTTGAGATTGAAACTTTCTTACTTGATCAGAGGAAGTAGATAAAATGAAGCAACAATAAGCACGTCAACGATAGACAGTTCATGACATGTGAGTTGAATCAAAGAGTAAGTTATTTGGTATTTACCCAGCAAGTGTATTTTGGTGTTTACTTATTTTATGAAGTTTTAATAAGAAGTGAAATTTTCATGTTTCTGACGCTCAAATACGCCTGCAATTAATGATTTTGTCATTTGAGCTTCAGATTAAAGACAAAGAGATTAACTTATTGTATTGTTTTGAACTTTTTTCTAATCTATCTCGCAAGTAAGTGTTCATTAAAAGTGTTCAGTTATTTGGAAATTTCACTAGCATTGGAAATTGCATAGCATCTGTACTCTGCTTTATTTGTGACTAGTGTTTGGCTATTAAGTGTGACGCTTCTGTGGCTGAGTGGGTAAGAAAGTGTGAGACTCCTAATGTCTTCGTCGCAAGTTGGAATCTCAGATGTATCTGATTTTTGCTAATTCGAGGCTTGTTTCTACTTTTTTATTGCCCTTGATAGAGCTGCTTTTTTGTCGTGTTCTCGCTAGTGTTTGCGAAGCGAAACTTCGCCTCTGTGTACAGTAGCGTGCCAAGGGGGGAGGGGAAGGGGGGATAGGGGGTTGCCAACTCCTGATTTCCAATTTTTCCAAAAAGTCTCCCGTTGGTATAATTTTACGCGATCCACTTTTGGCGCCAATGTACACTATCTCGCCAAAAAGACTCAAACAGGAATTTTTTCTTAGTGTCTGTTGAAAAACCGTTTTTTAGATAAATTGTCACCAAAATATTATTAATTTTATTTAGGAATTCAACAAAAAAAGTTAGGCCCGTAAATTTTGACGTGAAACGTTTTCAAGTCTTTGTGCGTTTTTGCGGGATTTATTCATTTAGCTCAGAAACATGGCTCAACGCAACACGTTGTTTCGAAACGCAGTTTGAAATTGTTGGCTTACTACAACAAGGTTGGACCTTTGGAAAAAAAGCCAATACGCTGAAAATAAACCGACAAACTGCGTACAGTGTTTGCAAAGCTTATCTTAAAGACCCTACCTTCTCTGGGCTTTCTAGATGTGGAAGAAAATCAAAAGTTAGAGGAAAGGAAGAAAAAATCTGGGTAAAAAATGCAAAGAAAGGAGACAGAAAACAATGTATCAAGTTACTACAGTCTGATTATAACTGTTTCAGCACGAAACCATCTTAGCAACTACGGTCAGACGTATTTTGTAAAAACATGGTTTTTCGAGCAGATCCGCGTTTCTGAAACTAAATATGGGCAAATCGAACAGTGCTTTTCGGAAGAAGAAATGCCGTTTTTGGGCTTAAAATCCAAGCTTTATGCAGTCCGTTATTTTTTCAGACGAATTCCGATTTGCCCCGCAGACGTCCGTATTCGAGTTCGGCGTCAACGTGGCGAGCGTTATAAGCCACAGTGTAGTTTTGTAGAGTTCTTCCTGTTTTTCTGTCATGTATTGGGGGTTCATTACACCTGACGGTGGTTTTGGAATCGTAAAATGTCCCCTGCCATACAACGCTAAAGCTTATAGAGACGTACGTGATCAAAATTTTATCAAGAAATTTGCCAAATTTGGCTGAAGCTCATGGAAGACAATTGCCCTGTTCATAGTGCAAAAATCATAAGAAATTATTTAGCCGAAAATCAAATCAAATTCAGACCATCGAATAGCCCTCATACAGCCCTAATCTAAACATCATAGAGAATGTGTGGGCGTTGATGAAGAAGCGAATGACTGGATTGACCCTAACCAAAGAAAACTTAGAAGAAAGCATCGAAATCGCTAGAAAGTCCATCTTGTGTGATTTTTGAAAAAAAACTATAAATTTATCCTACGAGAGTAAATTTAGTAATAGAGTCGAAAGTTGCTGCTCATCGTTATTAGTTCTTTTCTCAGTAAAAAAAATCCGATCTTTTTTGTCAAGCTCCAGTTTTTTTTTTAAAAAAACCTGAAAATTAGGTTTGTATGAGTCTTTTTGGCGATATAGTGTAACTAAATTTGAGGGGGGGTAGTCAACATTTTGCAAAGGGGCCTAAAAACGCCTTTTTGGCCTGTTTTTCAATTTGTCTCAGCTCGACAAAATTTCAAAAAACCGCTCCCCCCACCCTCTAAAAAAGTTTTCCGCACGCCACTGTTTTTATTGAAACATTATTTGGCAGAATGTTAAGCTCTGGCGGCCTCTTTACCTAAAAATCAAAAAAGTTGCGCCGAAAATCATTATAAGGTAAGTTGAGGCGCTTGCAACGTACCGTGTTTCACTCATTACTTGCCTGGTTTTTAAACATGTGCATCGAAGAGTCCGCTCGACCAAAAGACTGACAAAATCTAGAATTTGTTACTTAACAGGGTGACAATGGTAGCGTAAGATTAAAGTGTATGCTCAAAACGTAAGCGCGACATTTTTGAAATAGTGTTCAAATTCATTTTGTTAAAAGTTTTAACTTCTTACTCCTAACTGAGAAAGAACTAATTGGTCACAATGATTTCCTACAAGATTCGAAATATATCCGTAGTGATTTTTTGAAGTTGTTTATCTTGCATTTTGTTTTGCATTTTAGAGCTGCTCTCTGCATTTTTTCTTTGAAAAAGGCAGCTTTGCGTCTCTTTTATAAATGCATGCCTATTAAGAAAAAATTGTTCTAAAGCTTGCTTTCAATTGTCACAAAAACTCAAAAAAGTGAGTTTTTTTTTTAAATTTTAGTTGAAACAAATGGTTAGATTTTTGTGCTTTTTGGGACAGGAGTTGATCATTCTTGTGACTATTTCCGCTTGTCGCTTCGAGCTGTTAAAACAGTAATAATTCTTCCGACTATTGAAAATGGAGAGGAACTTTGTATTTGCGAATAAGTTCTCTAGATTTTTCGGTGTGCTTTAGTTTTTTTTTCTTGTTTTCCACGCAAAATCAGGTACCATAAATAATCATCGAGCTGGGTTGAGTTATATATCATATTAAAGCCCTCTCAGTCGTGATTCGAGACACGTCAAAAAAATTCAAAACTTAAAAAACCGGTTTATTTTTTTTAAATTTTTTGTCTTATTTCGAGCGAATAAAGCGAGCGAGTAGTTTTATTTTAATTGATTAATTACTTAAAAACTGACAATAGCTTAATTTCAAACGGAAAAATTTAATTTTGCTTGGGTAAGGTTATTTTAATTTAAGTGTTTTAGCGCCTTTTTGGAATCAAATTTTTCAAAACATCAAAAAACTTTGATTTTTCAAAAAACAAGAGACATTTTTTGAAAAATTTTTGTTCGATTGCTTTTCGTTTTTCAAGTAATTTTCCTTTAAAAATTGTTTTCCAATTTGCTAATCATAGTATGGTTGTCGAATATACCTAATCCACAGTTTTTTGTTCAGCTCCTTTTATCACACCACGCCGAAAAAAAACAATTATGAAAAAACTTTCAAATGATCGAATATGCCTAAATTGTCGGACACTGACTGTCGAATATGCCTAACTTATAGTTTTACGCCAAATCCTTTTATCACACCACGCAGAAAGAACACTAGTTTGAACAAATAATTTTTTGTGTTTTTTTAAGACTATGTTCGGAACATTCTGTGCTTCGTGCACAGTAACCGGCTACCCTTGTTCAGATATGAAAACGTGCTATGATTTTTTTCGGCATTCAGACAAACGATTGACTAATAAGCCATTCCTGATTGTGCTGTTCTGTTCACCGCACCCATCATGTACTCATCTTATAATAGTGGAGTAAATAATTTTACGTGGCATAATATCCCGACAGCCAAACAAACTGCAACTTTTGTGTCATTCATTTTTTTACTTCGCCATTAATTTACGAAAGACTTTTCGTATTCGAGCTCAAAATTTTCGAAACTACAGCTGATAGCCATATTTATAGTCGTCAGACAGTTAATCACTCGTATTTCTTATGTTTTTTTGGGAAATTGTGATAGGGTCCGCAGATACTGTACCCAATGCCACCTTCAAGCCTTTCCCTGTAATAGACTTCCCCTGTAAACTACTTAATTAACAAAAATTTTGCAAGCTTGGATATTAAGTTAATCTATTTTTATTTTCCACTTACTTAACAAATGGTCACAATAAGCTCCTCTAGAGATATGAATTGGAAAGACGCTATATTCATTAAAACAGCCTCCTGATATATTTTTTTCGCTTTCACTTGTTCTCATTGTTTTGATACGCAACCCATTTATGATCATTTGCTTTTTTATATCTTGGACTATTCTTGTGTGGAAACAGAAAACTAGTAACAGGAGTTTCATCGAAACGCACTCTATTTCTTAAGAACATTTATATCAAATAAAAACTTCGTCGCTTTCTATTGCAAAAAAATCGCGATTTTTTTACTACCGCCCATCACTTGACTGTGAAATTCGCTGGTTTTAATATTATTGTTTTAATTATTTGCTGTTTGAATTATGTTTATTTGGGTCTCGATTGCTTCTCAGCTTGGGGCTAATTTATCGGTCGAGCAGTTTCAGACAGGCAAAACGAGGTAAGGTTTCCCCAAGTTTGTAAAATAAAATGAAATTCGTGTCGTTGCAATAAAGTGTCCTGTATAAACATCAAAAGTTGTTAGTTACAATTTGACATTTTTTGAAGTGTGTTTCGCTCAAGCGGAAGGTATGTGCTAATTAAATTGAGTTAATGTTTCAAAACTGATCGTTTATCTTCGTCAGAGATCTTCGGGATCGCAGTCAACATTCAAATAGATATCTGCGGCTGGGAGATTAGTTAATTCAAAACACAATTAGTCGCGATAAGTCATAACTCACTTAAAGGACTCCCGCAGATAACAGGGGCGTTAAGCTGTTAATTAAAATTCCGAGTTCCGCTTTAATTGATACCAATACCCGGTTCAAATTACTAATCCGATATTACACCTCAAACAATTCATAAATCCCATTATAAACATAACTATTAATTGTTTTTGAATCAGTTTAATTAATTTCTATTAAATTGCCATCCGACAACGTCTGTTGACTAGCATATCATTAAGCAGAGTTTCATTCGTTACAACCTTAAAATGAAAACGAAACACAGCAATTTCTCCATCGAATCAATTTTAGCTGGAGATGAAAATCAACACACACCTGATGCCGAAACGTTTGGCCAAGAATTTTTTCGCTCCAGAGAAAAATCTCCAGTAGTATCTCAAGAAATAGTTCAAAATAAGTTGACGCCAGGTAAGATTTTTCAATTTTCAAATATCTCCGGCTGCTTTCTAGTCTTCTGACAACGAAGTGTATATGGTAAGTACAAACGGTAATCGAGCTTCCCTTGGGAAAATAAAAGATTGTGCTGAATGACATTTAGAAGACAATGGATGATTTTATAAGTTTTTCTGTTGCTACGTTATTTCTGACAAAAAATTTGATTTTCAAAAGATGACAATTTTGACACAAACTCTGTCTCGTATTATAGGCTGTGTGGCAAAAGGGAGAAGCCGAGAAAGTGACCATCTCAGTGAACACGAAGAGACCTTTTCACTCCTCGAGACAAGTGGTGATCAAACAAAGCTTCACCTGACAACGACGGAAACTTCCACCAAGCCGACAAACACCTCTGATTACGTAACACAAACAGCCGACAGGACTGTGGATCAGGTGACGTCATCGTCGAACTCTAACTCGTGTAGACGAAGTAGGACCACTTACACTCCGTGGCAGTTGCACCAGTTGGAGTCTTCCTTCGAGGACAACCCTTATCCAGATGTGGGCCAGAGGGACTACCTCGCTGGAGTGATGGGAGTGACCGAATCACGCATCCAGGTAAGCACACTCCCACATGCGCTCACGCGTAAACGGTAATTTTTTTCTCACGCTCCAAAATTCACAATAACGAATAAGGGTTTAGTGAAAGTGTTTGATTTTAATCGAATTTTCAGAAAATTGATAGTTTGATTCGCTTCGAACTTAAGTTCGATTTCAATTTTTTCATATAATGTGATTGGCACTCAAAATCGATTTATGAATGGGAAATGTTAATTTGGTCAAAACCTTAATTGTACTGAGATGAGTTGACTGCATTCATTTCAGGTCTGGTTTCAAAACAGACGAGCCAAGAGGCGCAAACTGGCTCGGGTATTCCACGGTGACATCAATGAGCATCAATTGAACCCGAACAACTTCCACATTCATCACAGTCAGGCAGCAGTATCAACTAGCATATTTCTACCTCCTTCCCATTTAGCCGAACAACCAATGCATTCAATTAATCGCGGAGCGTCTAATCACACCTTGGCTTACTCAAACATGCCTTCGTGCAAGGATAGAGTCAGTAGTATTACATCACTGCCCACAATCGACGATCGCCTCAGCCAAGAATCGATTCGAAGTAGGATTTTACACCATCCAGGTTTCAAAAACGGAGATTGGCAGTCTGATTTGTTAGCATCTCAGATACCTCGAATGAATGGCACCTTCACGAATAACCCCTTCATTAATTTTCCAACGCAAGGAAGGCCAATAATGTACCCACAACTGTTGGAAAGTTCAGTTTTTCCATCGATTAATGAGAAATAGTTGCTTAAACAGCTTTGGTCAGCATAAGCTTAAAACTCAACAGTTTAATTTATATTGTAATTGTCCTTGATAGGTGAACAAATTATTTCTTAATTTTGAATTAGAATCTATTTTTTTTGTAATTAAACGTTTAAACTAACTGTTCTTTTTGGATCAAATTCATGAATTGAAGCCGAAACAAAGGTCAACAATACAAATTTAAAATCTAGCCAACTTGAATTGTTGAAAAGTAGCAGAAATTAGAAAATTAAACAATTTTTTGTGACTTTAAAATCGAAAACGGCTAACAGCACAGAAAAATTGATAATTATTTTTTCTTGAGCGCTCGGAAAAGAATTTCGGTGGTCAACCTTGAACAGATAACAAAACTGCTCGTATCAGGGCGAAGTCCTGAATGTTCCCACTGAAATTTAAAGTCTATGATGGAGTAGTGTTTGCTTTCAGAAAAAGGGTGACATTTAAAAAATCAAAAACTCAAAACAATTTTTGCGGTTAATCAAAATAGCATGCCTCAAATCAATTTGTAACGATTTCTTAGACGGATTAAATCTCAAATTTCCGTCTCGAACTAGCAGTCTTTAACCCCCCCCCCCCCCCCCAACATCACAAAAACTGATCACAGCTGAAATATCTTTTTGCATTTGAGCTCAAGACAACAATAATTTTCGAATGATATAATAAATTCCGCCAAAAATTGCTAGTTAAAAACTCGAAATTTATCTGAATAAAAAAACAACCCGAGCACAATTATTCTGTCAATAGTCGGAACAACAAGAGTTACATCTGCACCGAATAAAAGCACGACAGTTAAATCTACAAAAAAATTTAAAAAAAAATTCTTTCTTTCTGTTTCGTGGTTTTTAAGCATGAGGGACTAAAAAAGTATCCAAAATCAGCTTAGAAATTGTTTCATTAAAACTTAATAACAAATTTCTCATATACTAAAATAAAATAAAAAAAATAAAGATTGTGACACTTCACTCTTTGCTGTGAATGTGTGTAAAAATGGGTAGATTACTCTGTTAAGCTCCAAAAAGTAGTTTCCTCTCAAAGTTTGTCTATACTTAGAACTGAAGAAGCCCCTTGGAAAAGTGTCGGGGCAAGTTAGTTTAAAAAAGTTTCTTTTTTGGAGTCGATAAGCAGAAATCATAAAAAGAGGATTGGGAGGGTTTGTCCTTGTACTCAAATCTTATTTTCTGACAATGAAAATCCGTTCTTTTAAGTTTTCCTTGCTATTTGACTAGTTATTTGTTTTATGTATGTTCCTATCACTCTGCTTTACTGTAAAAAATTGCCAATCACTCATAATTTTACAACAAAAATTTATCTGTTAGCTTAAAAGATCGAAAATAATGAAAAATTCACGAAGCCCATGAATTCACCTTACAATTTTCAGAATTGATTCCATACAAATACTGTGGCATTTATTTTTTGAGCATTGAGGTTACATGACAAAACATCCCTTACTTTAATATCACAAACGAGAAGGTCCCAAACGAGTAAAACCCAGCCGATAAGATACCACACCAAAAGATACTTTTTTCAACATCGCTCACGACATAAAATACCATAAAAAACAACAAAGAAAAAAAAATCAGGCGTTTAACTTTTTAAAGCAAAAACTCAGTTTTGGTTAAAATCATAGAAACGGCAACATATTTTCTGCACAATTTTGCTCAGAAATGACCTTTTTAATCTTTTGGACTTCAAAATGAAAATGAACTATCTAAACAAGCTAGACTACAAAAGATTTTGCAATTGTTTTCTAAGTTATCAAAGCCATTTTTGTCAAAAATGGCCAGGTTTTCAGACAAATCAAGTCAATATAAAAAAAATTTCGCAAATTTCTAAGGCCTTGAAATCAATTTCACTGCAAATCAATTGCCACTCAGTTCAAAAAAACTATCATTTTTTGTTTTCCATCAACTTTTTATCGCTAGACGCAACTCTCAAATGGCCGTCAGGCGCCTTTCGCCAATGGTTTTATAATGCTTCCATAAAAAAATTGGAAAGCAGATTTTTTGACAGAGCATATCCCCTTACATTTTTTGAAAATGAGCCGTGAGCTCCTCTAATTTTTCGAGATCGTTTTGCGATATATCCAATTTGGTTGCCACACTGCTGATTTGCTCAATAATTAGGTCAAAAGCGGCTGGTCAACTCCGGTATAAAACCAAGGGCAGGAATTATGTTCAACATTAAGACTAGCTCGCTGTTCGATTGATAAATCTTCTAAGGGCCCCATTCAGAATTTTTCCGCATATAGCTCTAAAAGAGGTGAAACTGATATCCCTCAATGTCAGTTTGGTAATGAGAAGCAAAAATATTCAACGCCGCAATTTCAAAGTCGCATAAAAGTTTTTGCGAGGATAGTTCACTGATAGATGATTTGGGTGCGGTTACAAATCTGTTGTATGTTGATAAAGGTCTATTGCTAGCAGAGCGTAAGCACAAGGTGGACAAAAACCTGCAATTTGGACGTAGATAGCGTAGAGCTAGCAAAACTGACTGATGAAAATTTTGCTAGGTTCTGTTATACGTTTTGTTTTCGTTGAGGTTTTCAATATCGTCAAAAATTAATGTTCGTTCCGAGTTGTGCTTCCGCTATCAAAATGTGAGTTTCCCCAGTAAAAAAATTCAGTTTTAACTATTCAGTGAGTTACAAATTGAGACAAGACTGCCACGTATCAGGGCGAAGCCTTGAGTGTTCTGAATGCTTTTCAAGGTCTATGTGGCAGTAATGAGTTGAAAAAATTAAAAGTAATAAGAATCAAATAAAAATTTTTGTAAATTTGAGATTTGTTTTGTGAAAATCATCTCCCCACACCCCATATAAATTACAAAGTGATAAATTTCGCTCGTAGTATCAGATCAATTATGGCAATTAGGCTTCCTTCAAACAATTTGCAGCAATTTCTAAGACGGATTAAATCTTTAAACCCCCATAACTTTACGAAAAAATATCACATGTAAACTATGTTTTCAAGTTTAAGCTCAGGACAACATTACTTATTGAATGATATGGCTAGTTAAAGGTCGAAAATGGCTAGGTAAAAAGTCGAAGTTTTTCTGAAGAAAAAACCCACCCCGAGGACAAACATTCTGTTACTTTTGTTACAAAAGCCAGAGCAATAATGAATGCAAAGTATATGCTTTTTTAATTGAATGATTTTAATTCAATGCTAAATTTACACTAAATTAAACTCATGTTGGCGGTATGTGATTCAAAAAATGAGTCGGAATTGATTTTAATTATCTTATATTTGTTTTGTTCTTAAATAACGTGAACTTAATTGAGGTATCATTACTCAAGTTTTACTTCTGATTACACTTGGATTATGTCTTTTTTCATACTTTATGAGATCTTTTTAATTGGCATGGGATCTCATGGTATGGGCAATTTTAGCACGTGGGATCTTTTGTTATGGCATCTTTCGCCATGGTAGCTTTTGGTGTGGTATCTTTTGCCCTGACACCATTTTAATAATAGCATTGAAGAGAACAGCATTTGTCTCTTTTTCCTTCCCACACCTGCAAATTTATTAGAGAAAACGTTCTGTTCACATTGTCAAAGTGTTATCAAATTTGGCATACTAATTAGGCCATGTCAAGCATATTGGGTCTTGATACTCAACCTTGTAAAACCACTCGTTACACAATGAAATCGTTGCTTATGTAAGGTGGGGAAAAGGAAAAAGAGCCCAGCATTTGAGTCACAATTTGAAATCAAAAGAACCGAAATTTCGCTAATATTCATAGATAGAACTACAAGACCTCTACTCCTTGTTGAGAAGTTTTGACCGCAATAGTGGTACAACCTGAATTTTGTAGGCCACGGCTTCGACGTGAAAAAAAAAGATCTCAACGTACAAAACAGTCTCTATAACGACAAAAGGTCTCTAAGTTCCTTCGATTGATTTTCGGCGGATCACGTAAAAACCATGATTGTTTTTTATTTCATTTTGCCTATATACCTTCTATTTTTCCAGGAGCGCAATTATGAATAATTTATATTTACTTTCTGTAGGAAGTGTGTGGACAATGTTTTTAATGTTTTATCGATAATTTCTATTTCATTGAGTAAATGTTTGAGCTTGGAAAAAAAAAACATCGAAACTCTATCTTGGCTGCTTGGCTCAGCGCATGGAAACACAACATTGAGGTTGAGAGGATTATTAATTTTGAAGAGGAGCTTGTTCTGCGCATTTAAAGAAATATTTTTTGATATATTTCGGTTCATGTCAGAAACTGGTGGATTGCTAATTGCAACTGAAAAACGTAGATTACATGTAAAGCTCTTGCCCCACTAGGCTCCAAAGAATTAGTTCTGAATTGGCTTATGAATCCCGTATCTTAAAAATTACAAAAGGGGGTCTGGGTGTAACTCATTTTGAGCGGAAAAACTGATTGAATGGTTGGTTTTGGGTTATTGTTCCGACCAATTTTTTATGAAAGAATTATAGGGCAATTTTTGTTTTTTGAATTGAACACTCTTAGTGCTCAATTCTGGTAATTAAGTAAATTATTTTTCGATGCTGTTAGGATATGGAGCCCGGGTCGAGGCCCGTGACTACTGTTTTGGCTTTGTTTGTCGCGGAAACGTTAATTCCGTGACCGAAAACCCATAGTCTGACAGGGTTTTCAGTCGTGGACCACTTTTGGAAATACTGTATCTCGGTCGCGATGGTAGAAAAATTAGTCGCAGATAGAAACTCGAAATAGTGTACCTCAGTTGCAAGGGCCGAAAATTAGTCGCGGCATGGTCGAAAAAATAGTAGCAGTGGTCAAATAACTAGTGGCTGCGGTCGAAAATCTTGTCGCGGCAGTCAAAAAATTAGTCGCATTTTTTTGGAAAAAATTTAAACGGCAGTCGAAAAACAAGTCGCGGCATGGTCGAAAAATTAGTCGCGGCGGACGAAAAATAAGTAAGTCGCAACATGGTCGAAAAATAGGTCGCGGCGGCCGAAAAATTAGTCGCGCCAGTCGAAAAATTAATCGTG